TAACTGTTCAATTAAGGCTGTTTGATGAAGAAACACGGGGTGCTTTGTGACGTCGGCCGTTGTGTCTTGTGCGATTGAGGTGTCAGGTTTGGAGGAAACAGAGGCAACGTATGACGACCAAGCGAGGAGATCACTAACGGAGAACCCTCTCTCAATGGCACACGCCTCCAGACATTGAATTGCAGGACTATCAGCTGCAAGCGCCATCAGCGCGGGATAGTGGCGGATCAGGTAGGTCATGACGCTGTCCAGAACGCGCGCATTGACATTGTACTGTTCTGAGACGATTCCTGACAAAGCCGTGAACAGCGCTGAAGCAACAGATCGAATGTTGACTTTCGTGGTAGAATCCAAGGAATCGAGGCCTAACTGTTTGACGGTATCTTCAGGGTCGCGATTACTAAGAACATGAGCAACTTTATGATCTCTGCAGTAGTATTGAAGACGTACGCGAAGGCCTTGTTCGTCGACGTCACGTTCCAAGCACCGCGGTCGAAAATCCACTGAACACACCTCCCAGCGCCGTTGGCATGTTGAGCCTCACCCCGACGAAATGAATGAGATGGATTGCTGCATCTTGATAGTCGGAAGCCGTAGCAGCAGTTGAATGGAGATACGTCGTCATTTTCTTCAGTGCTTCATTCTTGTTGACAAAAGTACCGATCTCGCGCTTCATGCAATATCGCTCCAAGACTTGCCCCTTCTTGAGCAGATTCTTCTCCGTCGCTGGTCGAAGCAGAGGAAATGCTCTAGCAGCCAGTTCTTGCCCTGTCGGTAGTACGGCATCACTGAATTTCTAGCCGAAAGCTGGCCGTTGCGGCCTTTCTTGAAAGCTAAATTCATGTCGAACTTGTCTACCACTGCCTCCACCACGGTAGCAGTGTTGTCGCGCTTCATGCACACCTCCAGGTACTCCCATGTCACGCCTTCCTCATTGAGGAAAGCCTGGAAGGGTAGAGACGCGCTTTGTGTTGGCAGGTGCGAGGTCTGTGAGGCTGATGGAGTGTCGGAGAGGTCGGGGTATACGTGCTATTTGTGAAATATGCAAATGTTTAAAGTTTGTATGGGAATATCAATAACAGCTAGTATGGCTCCGACCAGATATGTCGGAGCTGTTGTTTACAAACGCAACTCGCATTGGATTGGTCAAAATAATGCGCTATCTTAGTTTGATTCG